AACGGAATCTAAGGTAGAAATCCGACTCGTGATAGCTGCTTAGGGCATCCCAAAAGTAGTGGCAATGACACTTTAATACTGTATAGTAAGCTTGAAGAAATTTTCTTTTTCTTATGTGGTGATAGAGAAAACGATGCTCTATTTTTTTGTGTTAGTTGATCAATCTACGACTAATATCATAATAACAAAATTTCGATAAGAACTGTTGTTGTGTACAAGTTCACTAGCGGGTGAGACAGATTAAAGGTTTCAATCACTTAATACATTGTATTAAAAAACAAAATATACCATAATATGCAGGGTGGAAAGCTCTACAATTACATAAGATCGCTTATTTTATAGTTGCACTTTTTGTGTTCAAAATGAACAGAATTTTGAGCAATCAATTTTCAACCGTGCGCAAACGATATTTTTTTTTGGTATAAGATAAATTCATTCTTTCTCATTTCATCGTTTTGTCACCTAATATCTTTAAAAAAAATGAAATACTTCACAAAATGCAGCGTGATATATTTTGTGTTTTAATACAATGTATTAAGTGATTGAAACCTTTAATCTGTCTCACCCGCTAGTAAAGTTTTATACAAAAACAGTTCTTATCGAAATTTTATTATTATGACATTAGTTGAAGAGTGATCAAATAGTATAGAAAAGTAGAGCATCGTTTTCTCTATCACCGCATAAAGAAAAAGAAAATTTCTTCAAGCTTACTATACAATGTTAAAGTGCCATTGCCACTACTTTTGAAATGCTCTAAGTATTCTACTCGCACACCCTCATTTATGACTAGCATTCATACAACAAACGCTGCACAATAATGTGTATGAAGATAAGAATACAGTGATACCTTAATTGTTCTCTTTTCTATTCTAGGTTGCCGCATTTATGATCAGCATTGATGTAACAAACATCGTAAAATGATGTGTGCGAAGATAAGAATAAAGTATGGTTTCGGCAATAAAACCATCTAGAGTTGTCCTCTCTCTCTCTCTCTCTCTCTCTGTCTTGTTCTTGTTTGCCACAATTTCCACAATCATCGATTCGACGAACGTTGCAAGGTAACGTATGCTCGAATATATTTAGTGGAGAAGTAAATGAACGCTTTTTGAAGAGAGAAACTAACAAAGAAACAAAAAATTCATCTATTCTCATCATTTCGCCATGACTTCCGCTTCAACAAGTGCTTCAACAACATTCAACGTTCCTTCACATGTTTTTTACCGTAATCTCAACGTTGAACCATTGTATGCTGTACGAGCGGAAGGCAATTACATTTATCTGAAAGATGGACGTAAACTTCTTGATGGCTTTGGTGATACTGCTGTCACAGCTATTGGTCACGGTAATAAGCGTGTCATTGAAGGTATTCTTGATCAGCTGCAGACTGTTGGCTTTGCCCATTCTTTAATATTTACTCAGAAGGTAAGTCTAAGCATAATTCTTGTTCTCTCTGAGGGGTGTCAGTTTCGGGTTCCGTTTCTAGAAACGGAAACTCATCCCTGATTTCGGGTTTCTAGGAACGGGAATCAATTTGTCAATTCATTTCTGCGCGTTTTTTTTACCACACTGAGGTGTCTAGACATATTTTGTCTTTCATTTTGAGGCAAGTCATTATGGGTCCCTAGGTTCGATGCCTCTAGGAACGAGAACCCGTACTGGATTCTCAAAAATCAGGAATCTTGCCTAAATTTCTGTTCTTAGAGATTTGAAATAGGATTCCTGATTCTTGGAAACCCGGTGCGGCTTACCGTTCTCAGGAACCTGGGACCCGGCGTGGGTTCTCGTTTCTACTAACCCTGGAATCTATAGTTACTTACCTCAAAATGAAAGAAAAAATGTATCTAAACTTTCCAGCGTGTTCAAAAACATGCAGAAGTGAATTATCAAGTGGGTTCCCGTTCCTTGGGAACAGAACCTCAAGGAGCGGGAACCCTGACATCCCTAGTTCTCTCACTCGACCATCTCGAGGCCGTTAGGATATTTGTACATGAATTGCACATCCATTGAAAAGAAAGTGTGCCATGATTCTGATATGATGAGAGCTTTCACTATATTGATTTAGCGAAAGACCAAGATCGTATTCAAAATTCCCTAACTCTTCTTTATCTGTGTATGGAGCAATTCGGGAGACGTGAAATAGCACATAACTTTTCAGTTGGTTGAGGTGATGCCAGTCTTGGCTCGTTTTTTTCAAAGTTTTCTCCATTTAATTCGTTCGACAGCAATGATCAAAGAACTTCACTGTGATACTTTGAGCGGCGAGAGAGAGGGAAAAGTTTTATCCTATTGATTTATCATAGCATTGTGTTCTTTGTCAAAATATATCTTTCTCCTAAACGATATAAAGGATAAGAAATTCACTTGTTCATTGTTTTATTCTTTCAACCAGGCAGCTGAAGATCTAGCGGACGAGCTCACCAAGGAAAGTGGTATGAAGAAAGCCATATTCGTCTCTGCTGGATCTGTGAGTATTCTTATCATGAAATTCTCTAAAGTGCTATTTGCTTCTGGTAGGAAGCTGTGGAGTCGGCAATCAAGCTCGCCAGACAGTATCACTTGGAAAATAAACAGCCTCAAAGAATCAATTTTATCGCTCGCCGACAAAGTTTTCACGGCAGTACTCTTGGTGCACTGGGACTCAGTGGCCACAAATCACGTCGTGCTCTCTATTTGCCACTCTTGTCGTCTCACTTTCATCATGTTTCGCCTTGCTTTGCCTATCGCTACAAATTGACCGATGAGTCGGACGAAGATTATGTGAAACGTCTTGCCGACGAATTGGAGGCCAAATTTCAAGAACTCGATCCTCACACGGTGGCAGCTTTTTTTGCTGAGACAGGTAAGTAAAAGCTACATTGTTTTAAGGACATAGTTCATTTCTTGCCTTTCAGTTGTTGGTGCCACAACTGGCTGCACTCCAGCAGTACCCGGATATTTCAAGGCCATGCGTGAAGTGTGTGATCGACATGGTGCTCTATTCGTTCTCGATGAAATCATGTGTGGTATGGGTCGAACGGGTAAAATGCACGCATGGCAATGGGAAGATCTTTCATCTCCGCCTGATATTCAAACGATTGCGAAAGGTCTTGGAAGTGGCTATGCTCCTATGGCAGCTGTACTCATATCAGCCAAAGTCGCCGATGTCTTTGCTGCCGGATCGGGTGTATTCGTTAATGGATTCACCTATCAAGCGCATGCTGTTGGATGTAGAGCGGCCTTAGAAGTTCTCAAGGTGATGAAGGAAGACGAATTAGTCGAGCAATGCAACCAACGTGGACTTTTCTTAGAAAAGGCACTGAAGGAGCAGTTGGGCAATCATCCACATGTTGGTGACATTCGGTAAGTGCATAAGGTCATCTCCAAGACCGAAACTGACTGGCTATGGGAATATCGAAAGTAAAAATTTGTAAAACAGAAATTGTGAAAAATAATCAATGAGAAACATTTATAAAACAATATTTAGAAGTCCTTCACTTTTTGCATGATATGTACCCAACTTATGTTAGATCTTTATTGATCTTTCACACTCTCAATATTTTATTTTTTGAGATTTGAATATTCTATCTTTTGATTGGTATTTTTCTTCGTGACTCTTTAGTGGTCGTGGCCTGTTCTGGTCGGTCGAGTTCGTCAAAGACAAACAAACTAAAGAAATGTATCCATCCACTTTTTCATTCACAAACTCTATTGTTAAGGAGTGCATAGAACGCGGAGGTGAGTGATATTTCCTTCCTTTAAAACAAAATCGTATTCTTTTATTTTCAGTTGTCCTCTATGCCTGTGCGAAGGGTACCTTCGATGGTACTACTGGAGATCATATCATGATTGCTCCACCGTACACAATAACTGAACAAGAACTTCTCTTCCTTGTTGACACTCTTAAGACATCGATTGATGTCGTCTTGAAGTGAACTTCTTAGTCTCTATATTCGCATGCTCGTTGTATCATTCCTATTAATTTCAAAATAAATATCGATGGTTGTTTTTGGTACAACTTCGAAATACAAGTAACTAGTGTGTTCAATATGGTGTTTAAAACGCGTTTTCAGTTAAACGAATCGAGTGTGAGTGTTGGTGTGGATGTCGATGTGGGTGTTGGATCTCTTCAGTAGCACACCCACACTCTTAGTAACTAAAGTAACCCACCCCTTCTCCTCCTCCCATTATAGACTTTAGCAATCGAAAATAACAGGCACAAGACTTTCTAGAGTTCTATTGCAAAACTAACCAAGTTTTAGTTATGAAAAATAATGAATATCATTGTTTATGAGTTGATTAATATATATAATACGGTGTGGGTCGGCGGGTGTTGACGTACTGTTAGGAGAACATCCAGTCGCTCATACCGACACCCAGGTTCACACCCACATATCCATATCGAAACTTTGCTGTTATAATATCATCTGAAGAATGATTAAATATTCTAAAATTATAGAGCTCGATTTGGGCTATCAGTATATATAGGAAGAAAATTTCCTCGACCCTTCTATAAGATTTTATAGTATTGGCGTCACTACTTTTGGCATGCCCTAACGAGGGAGGTACCCGAAGTGATTAAGAGCTTTTCAGATGATATTTTGCCGATAAGTAGGACCTGATAAGGCTAGAAAAAACCTAAAAGGATAAGGGCCCATAGGTCTTTCTTTCCGAGTTACGATCATTTTACTGAATTTTTCACTTACCCAGGTCCAAAAATCCGACGACGGATCCTATCGGATCCGATCGGACCCGAAAACCGACAAAAATCCGATCGGAATCCGGGTTACAGAATTCCGATCGGATCCGACAATCGGATACTCATACGTTTCCGATAATTTCCGATTGTCGAAATCCCCATTTATTCCGACGGTCGGATACCGATCGGATTTCTATAGGATTATATCAATCTTTCAACCGAGGTCCAAAAAATCCGACAAAAATCCGATCGGAATCCGGCTTGCAGAATTTCGATCGGATCCGACAATCGCATACTCATACGCTTCCGATAACTTCCGATTGTTGAAATCCCCATTTATTCCGACGGTCGGATACCGATCGGATTTCTATAGGATTCCATCAATCTTTGAACCTGTGGTCGATTTTATTTATTATGATAATGTTTGGAATCTAAATTTTACCTTATGTGAGCCGGAAAGTTTCATGATTTATAGCCACTGAAACGTAGTGTGTTTAATATAGGTTTTGGATTAAGGTGCAGCAGAATAGTTATTTTTTCTAGTATATAATGCCTTGATCAAGGAACTTATAAAATGCGGCTACCCGCGAGAAAGCTTGTTGACCTGATAACAACAAACTGTCTGTTTTCAACATGAACACACAGGTTTCTATGAAGTACGAACTAAAAGAAGTGCTGAAGTACAGAAGTAGTAAGTTCGATTCTATGTTTCTGCCCAATTGACCAAAATATACACTAAAACAACATGTCGTTATCCGTTGTGACAAAAATCGTTTCAAACGTAGAATCTTTTCAGTATATTCATAAATTCATAAAACAGAAAATTTTTAGTTTCGAAACTGTTTAAAAAGGTCTGAATATGACATTGAATTCAGTTAAATTATTTCATTTCTCGAAATGGCAACAAATGTATACCTAGATATCTCCATTCGAGCTTAGCACTGATATAAGTTACTATCCTATTGGATCACATCGGATTTTGAAAATTCAGTTCTGGAAATGAGCAAATATGCCTACCTTCATATCTCGCTTGGAGCTTATCATTAATATAAGTTTCTACCATTTGGATCCGATGGGGATTTTGAAAACTGAGTTCTGGAAATGGCAAAAATGTACATCCACGTATCTCCATTCGAGCTTAGCACTGCTATAAGCTTCTATCCTATAGAATCCGATCGGATTTTGAAAATTGAGTTTTCGAAATGCCGAAAAATCCAAACTTCCATATCACCATTGGACTTTATCTTTGATATAGGTTTCTACCCTATAGGATCCGATCGGACTTTGAAAATTCAGATCTGGAAATGACCAAAAAGGCGTACCTATATATTTCAATTGGAGCTTAGCATTAATATAAGTTTCTACCCTAGGGAATCCGATCAGATTTTGAAAATTAAGTTCTCGAAGTGATCAAAAAGCCATACCTACATATAACTATTAAAGCTAAGCATTCATACAAGTATCTATCCTATAGGATCATATCGGATTTTGAAAATTGAGCCCTGGAAGTGATGAAAAAGGCATATCCACATATCTCTATTGGAGCTTACCATTGATATAAGCTTCTATCCTATAGGATCCGATAGGATTTTGAAAATTAAGTCTGGAAATGGTCAAAAGGCATACCTAATATAACTATTGAAGCTAAGCATTGATGTAAGTATGTATCCTATAGGATCCGATCGGATTTTGAAAATTGAATCCTGGAAGTGATGAAAAAGGCATACCCATATATTTCCATTGGAGCTTACCATTCGTATAAGCTTGTATCCTATAGTATCCGATCGGATTTTGAAAATTAAATCCGAAAGCGGTCAAAAGGCATACCTACATATAACTATTAAAGCTAAGCATTCATATAAGTATGTATCCTATAGGATCCGACCGGATTTTGAAAATTCAGTTCTGGAACTGGACAAAAAGGCGTACCTATATATTTCAATTGAAGCTTAGCATTAATGTAAGCTTCTATCCTATAGGATCCGATCGGATTTTGAAAATTCAGTTCTGGAACTAGCTAAAAAGGCATACCTATCTATCTGTATTCCGGCTTGCCATTCATATAAGTTTCTATCCTATAGGATCCACTCGGATTTTGGAAATTGAGTTTTCGAAATGCCGAAAAATCCAAACTTCCATATCACCATTGGACTTTATCATTGATATGGGTTTCTACCCTATAGGATCTCATCGGATTTTGAAAATGCCCAAAAAGGCGTACCTATATATTACAATTGAAGCTTAGCATTAATGTAAGTTTCTATCCTATAGGATCCGATCGGATTTTGAAAATTGAGTTTTCGAAATGCCGAAAAATCCAAACTTATATATCACCATTGGAATTTACCATTGATATAACTTTCTATCCTATAGGATCCTATCGGATTTTGAAAATTGAGTTCTGGAAATGGCTAAAAAGGCATACTTATATATCTCCATTAGAGCGTAGCTTTAATATAAGTTTCTACCCTATAGGATCCGATCAGATTTTGAAAATTAAGTTCTGGAAGTGATCAAAAAGCCATACCTACATATAACTATTAAAGCTAAGCATCGATATAAGTATCTATCCTACAGGATCCGATTGGATTCTGAAAACTGAGTTCTGCAAATGGCCGAAAAGGTATACCTACATATCTGTATTCAATCTTAGCATTGATCTAAGTTTCTATCCTATCGGATCCGATCGGATTTTGAAAATTGACTTCTGGAACTGGCCAAAAATGTATACCTACATATCTCGATTGGAACCAAGCATTGATATAAGTATCTATCCTGTAGGATCCTATCGGATTTTGAAAATTGAGTCCTGGAAGTGATGAAAAAGGCATATCCACATATCTCTATTGGAGCTTACCATTGATATAAGCTTCTATCCTATAGGATCCGATAGGATTTTGAAAATTAAGTCTGGAAGTGGTCAAAAGGCATACCTACATATAACTATTAAAGCTAAGCATTGATGTAAGTATGTATCCTATAGGATCCGATCGGATTTTGAAAATTGAATCCTGGAAGTGATGAAAAAGGCATACCCATATATTTCCATTGGAGCTTACCATTCGTATAAGCTTGTGTCCTATAGGATCCGCTCGGATTTTGAAAATTAAATCTGGAAGTGGTCAAAAGGCATACCTACATATAACTATTAAAGCTAAGCATTCATATAAGTATGTATCTTATAGGATCCGATCGGATTTTGAAAATTCAGTTTTGGAAATGGCCAAAAAGGCGTACCTATATATTTCAATTGAAGCTTAGCATTAATGTAAGCTTCTATCCTATAGGATCCGACCGGATTCTGAAAATTGACTTCTGGAAAAGCCAAAAAGGCATACCTATATATCTGTATTTCAGCTTACCATTTATATTTGTTTCTATCCTGTAGGATCCGACCGGATTTTGAAAAGTGAATTCTGGAAATGGTCCAAAAGCCATACCTACATACTTCTCTTCAAGGTTAGCATTGATATAAGTTTCTATCCTATAGGATCCGATCGGATTCTGAAAATTGACTTCTGGAAAAGGCCAAAAAGGCATACCTACATACTTCTATTGAAGGTTAGCATTGATATAAGTTTCTATCCTATAGGATCCGGTCGGATTTTGAAAATTGAGTTCTAGAAATTGTCAAAAGTGTGTCTCTACATATCTCGCTTGGAGCTCATTGTTGATATAAATTTTTGTCCGATCAGATCCAATGAGATTTTGAAAATTGAATTCTGGAAATAGTCAAAAATACATACCACTATGTCGCGATTGAAGGCCATCGTTGATATAAGTTTTTATCTTATCGGATCCGATAGGATTTTGAAAAGTGAGTTCTGGAAATGGCGAATAATACATATTTATATCACACATTGTAGCTTAGCATTGATATAATTTTCTATCCTATCGGATCCGATGGGATTTTGAAAATTGAGTTCTGGAAATGGCGAATAATGCATATTTATATCACACATTGTAGCTTAGCATTGATATAATTTTCTATCCTATCGGATCCGATGGGATTTTGAAAATTGAGTTCTGGAAATGGCGAAAAATGCATATTTGTATCTCACATTGTAGCTTAGCATTGACATAATTTTCTATCCTATCGGATCCGATGGGATTTTGAAAATTGAGTTCTGGAAATGGCGAATAATGCATGCTTCTATCTCACATTGTGGCTTAGCATTGATATAATTTTCTATCCTATCGGATCCGATGGGATTTTGAAAATTCAGTTCGGAGAATGGCGAAAAATGCATAGTTGTATCTCACATCCTAGCTTAGCATTGATACAATTTTATATCCTATCGGATCCGATCGGATTTTGAAAACTGTGTTCCGGAATTGAGCAAATGGGCATACCTACATGTGTATTTTCTTGTTTAGCGTTGATATAATTGTCTTTCGTGTCGAATGTGATAGATTTTTGAAACTGATTCCTGGAAAGAGCTAGAGATGTGTGCGTATAGATCTCTGTTCGATAATATTATGGTTAGAATGTTGTATCGTGTAAGATTGTATTGAATGTGTGGAATATGGGTGTGGAACTCTTTGTTGAGGAAGAGATGTATGCAATTTAGTGTCTGTTTTTGCTTTCATCGATTGGTAGGCTAGTTTGAGTATGTTTTTGAAAGGGGATGTTTAGTGTAAAACGCATGTAGTTTTTTAATTCATGAGAATGTGTCGTTAGGGGCGAATGTTTAGCTTTTTTTGGCTGGCTTTAGCAGAGATGCTATTATGGACGTCTGGTAATTTTATGAGGATAGATTGGTGAATAGTATTGTTTGAGTTAGGCTTCGCAGGCGGTTCGTAATGGTTTTGTGTATGTGTATATTAGTATTTCGAATTTGTGTGCATTATTTATTGTGGGTTGACATGTTTTTTTGGTTTTAAATATGGCATTTGATGGATTATGAACAGTTGGAGCGATTCGGCTTCCGTTAGTAACGTTAGTGTTGGCTGCCGAAAGTGGTTTCCGATCGGCTTCCGTTCCGATAGCTGCCGATCGGATGTCGACAGTAGGATCCGATAGGATTGCCGATACCGGGGATTCCGTCACATTTCCGCAACCGGTTTTCCGGGAAAATCCGATAGGATTCGGCCGAATTTGGTAGGAATCCGATAGGATGCCGATAGGATCCGAGACGGAACCTATCGGATCCTATTATCAGATTGGTCGACCTGGGTATGACAAGAGATTCATGGAAAAATCAAATTACAGAGTTTCGATCTG